GGCAATATCAAACTCTATGGCGGTTATGCATCCGGGGGAGTGGGCGCGCGGAATATCACGGCATACCCGGTGGTATTAAGTGGCAATATCAATAATGCCGGCCTGGCTACAGATAACAGCTATCATATTATGGTCATTGCCAACATCGGTGCAGCAGACGACAGCCTGGTCATAGATGGCATTAGCTTCCGGGATGGCTGTGCAGACGGTACGGGGTTTAAGACCTACAATACCCAATCGTTTGAACAAAGTATGGGCGCGGCGGTTCACCTGCGCGGCGTACGCAACAATTCAAAAGTGGCCTTCCGTAATTGCTCCTTTATCAATAACACAGCCCGCCTGGGCGGCGGGGCTATCATTGCCAATATCTCCAGCTCATTTACCACTAGTGATTGTGTGTTCAGCAGCAACCGGGTCACCAACACCGGCGGCTGGGGCGGCGGGGCCATCATGATTGCCAACGGCTCAACACTGACTAATGCGCGTACCGTATTTTATGACAACAATTGTGTGACCAACGGGGGCGCTATTTACTTTTATGCGGGCAGCATGTTGTTCCAATACAGTTGCCTGCTGATCAATAATTATGCAACAGCCAAAGGCGGGGCTTATTATGTAGACAATGGCAGTTATGCTGAAATGGCTAATAATACACTCTATGGTAATGCAGCCATCAATAGTGACGGGGGCGCTATCTATTCGGAAGGAGATATGGTGATAGACAATACGATCTTTTACCGGAATGCCATGTACAGTGGCGGGACCATACCCTCTTATACCGCCGGCAGCGACATCGCCAACATGGGCAGTAGTGTGTTCCTGAGTAATTCTTCCCTTCAGTTCAATCCTGCGCTGGCAGGCAATTATACCGGTTATACCGATCCCGGAAATTCATGGGTTTCCAATATTTATCCGCAATTTTTAGATTCGGCAAACAAACGGGGAGCAGATAATACCTGGGCTACGGCAGATGATGGACTGAGCCTGTTACCATCCAGTAATATGATCAATGCCGGCCTGAATGCCGCAGTAACCGGAGCAGCAACGCAGGGAGATCTGGCCGGTGCCGCGCGTATACAACTGGGCACTGTGGATATGGGCGCCTATGAATCAGCAGTTGCACTATCGTGCCCTATTGGCAATACCGTGTATGTAGATAGCAGCGTGGCCGCAAGCGGATCGGGTGGCACCTGGACAGGCGCGTTTAAAACATTACACGAGGCGATGGCCGTTGCAGACCGTTGTACCGACATCACCCATATACTGATTGCCAAAGGCACTTATTTCCCCACACCCGATAATAACCGGGACAGCGCCATTGTGATCCGCCGCAGTAATATTAAGATCTATGGTGGTTATCCGAAAGGCGGTGGTAGCCGTAATATAGCCGCCAACCCAACGATTATAGATGGCAATATCGGCGGTGGCAATTATAGTTATCACCTGGTGGTGATTGCGGGTATTTATACCGCAACAGATAGCATTATATTAGACGGACTGACTCTGCGTAATGCAAAGGCCGATGGCGGTAATGTTTTCAGAACCTATAATGGCGAAACACTGGAGCGGATGTATGGTGGCGGCATCTACCTGCGCAATGTACGTAATGGTAATAAAACCGTTTTCCGTAATTGTACCTTCTCCAATAACCTGGCTACAAACGGCGGTGGGGCTATTATGAACAATGTATACTCCAGTGTATGGATAACCTCCTGCCAGTTTATTGGTAATACTAATAACAACGCATCCAGTATTTATGGTGGCGGGGCCGTATTCAGTGCCAGTAATTCTATTGCCGCAATCAACTCCTCAATATTCACAGCCAACAGATCGGCAACGGCTGGTGGGGCTATCTTCCAGAACGATACCTCACTAAGCGTTATCAATTGTACATTCTCCGGAGATACGGCAGCAGCAGGTGGTGCGATCAGCCTGATCAATCAATCGCCATTTTACAGTCGTAATAACCTCTTCCGTAACAATGTAGCTACCGGCGGCCATGGTGGTGCGATCTACGCAAACCATACCGGCACGGATACCCTGGTGAATAATGTTTTTACCGGCAATAAATGTACCGGCAACAGTAATTACGGTGGTGGTGCCGCAGCATTGATTGGCGGCAGGTCATATGTGGTCCACAACACTTTTTATGCCGATTCTGCCAATGGTTACAGCGGCGCATTGCTGTTGAGCGGTGTATCTGCTGTGTACAATAACATTTTCTATAAATGCTATAATTCCTCTTCAGCAACACCCGATATACATAGTAGCGGTACCCACACAGCCGGCAACAATTCATTCAGCAATACCAATCCTGTATTCTATAATGAAACGAACTTGCCCGGAGCTGATAATGTATGGTTTACCAGCGATGACGGCCTCCGGTTAAAGAACAACAGCCCGGCGATCAATACCGGGGACAACAGTAAGATACCCGCGAATATTACTACAGATATCACCGGCAGCGCCCGGATACAGCATATCGCAGAGCCAGGTGCTTATGAAGGTTATGTATGCATGGGCAATGGTGTGGCCTATGTAGATAGCAGTGTAAGTGCATCCGGCGACGGCACCTCATGGGCCAAGGCCTAT